TAAAAGAAAGTAAAGTATACAAGATATTTCTTTATCAAGAGAGTCATCTTAAAAGAACGGAAAAAGATCTGTCCGTTAAGCAGTGTCTTGTCATAATTTAGGTTTTATTAATAAGTATACATTTCATAATCCTTTTAAGCATAAATGGTTGGAAGATATTTGTCGAAGAAGTTTTTTGGCCATTTATGATATGAAAATGATTGTTTAGCTACATTTTACAAGAAAATGTCTTGTAATCTAAAAATAAAAAAAACATACATTGTGAAGTGAAGAATCAATCAAAATATGATTTTTAGAAAAAAAAAATATATGAAAACTTTATTATGTTTACTTATTTATCATTCTACATTTGAATTGCATTAATCAATTGTCCGAAACAATCAATGCATATCCTACACAATGGTAAATGTGCAATATTGTTATGCATAAGTGATATTGACTGGTTTTGATATATACATGCACATAATTTTCAATCAGCTTAACATTACTTACATACAGGTTTAATCCTTATTCCCAAAGTATACAATATAACAAATGAAAATCCTGGCAGATGATATTTCATTATGGTTTGTTAAACCTCTTGTCAAATTATTGAAAACAACAAATTCGTGAATGAAACATTTATAGACGTGCTAGTTGACCGTCAAACAAACTTGTGTTTTTTATTTCAGTTTTCCTGGTTTGTATTTTTAAATACATGTGGGAAACATCTTTGGCTCGAGAAGTTTACAACGGAAAATACAACAATAATTCAAAAGTGGCGTGCGATTTTCCTTGTTCCTACTCGCAAACACTCTAACACTTGTAACATGTAGCAAGTATCGAGCTGGTTAAACATGAATCATACATGACAGACAAACGATCATATGCATAAGACTTTAGTGGGCGTATACGTTTTTATAATTATGCAAATAACTTTTTTGAATTTTAATTGACGTACACGCTTTGTAATCTAAGCCAGATAAATCATGTACACATAAATGTGATATATAATTTTTAAAGGGTTAATACGGGAGAATTCAGTCTAGCTGAGATAATCATATAGTTATAATAATCTATCAGTTTTTCAAACTGTTCAAATAATGTTATATTTTAGTTCATACTTATCAAATCAGACTCGAGCTGATTGTTTTTTTTTATTTGGGTAACATGTTTCTTTGAATGGAACCTAGTTGTTATCGATCACCCCAAACGTTTGAGCAGGAGAACGATTGCTGTTATCTGTTATCCAGATGGGAGCTGGCTGTTTATGGTAATCTCAAATTTCTAATCAGATTTGACTCAAATTTCAAATCAAATTTGAGCTGGCTTTTATCTTTTATTTCACACGTCTGATCAGATGAGAGCTGACTTTTATCGAATATCTTAAACGCCTGAAAAGGTTGGTGATGCCTGCATTTGGTTATCTCATATGTCTGGTCATATGAGAGCTGACTTTTATCGGTAATCTCATATAAAGAACTGATGGGAGCTGGTTGTTATCGGGTAACTTAAATGTCTGATCTGATAGGATCTGGCTGTTATCAGTTAACTCAAATGGCTGATCAGATGAGAATTGGCTGTTCTATCACTTGTTGCTGTCAAATATGTTTTTGTCCGGTAAGTTGGGTGGTTGTCAATGATAGTACATATCTGCTGGTTAGTCATGAGCAATACTTCTTGCAATGTAGTACAAAAACGCAAGGTTTATCGTTTATCTGCTTTGTTACTTGTAACTCCACTCTAAATATTATAAAATAACATGATTGACCATTCCTGCTCGCATCATCGTGCATTATTCTACAACAACGGGTTCAAAATTGATGCCTATAGTTTCAAAATTGTCGGCGTTAATAAATACTTCAAGATTTCTTCTTCTAGAATCACAACATGGATATCTCCAAACACTTTTTTAAATATAATCTAGTCTTATTTCTTACAGCATTGAATTTGCAAGGTTATAAAAAGGAATTTCATAACTTAATATGTGTCCAATAAGAATCTTGTTTCAATATTATCATATTTTTGTAATTGATGAAATAAATGTAAAAAAAAACACATTTCATTGCTATCGATTAACACTCAAAATGAACAAAAATAACACTATTTGTTTCAAAGGTGTCCTATATTGAGCCCAGTGCGTCCATATATGGTAGTAATTTTTAAGACCGTTAAGTCACAAAAGAAGTCATTTGCAGTGAATGTAAATCTCTTCATAAATTCCATAAAAAAACACTAGCAATAAACGAACATTGCATTTTGTTTTGATCAATAATCGCAGGTATTCTGTCATTCCAGTTAATTTTACAAAACGATATATATCACTGTAGAACAATAAATTGTAACAAAGTCACACGTAGGGATAAAAATTGGTGCAATTTAATGAGACACTTAGCATTTTGTACAAAAATTACACTAAGTAACATCTATGTAACGCTTGAAAATGATTGCATTTCCATTCACAACTAACGTTCAAACAGTATATTTTCTGCAAAGAGAAATTTTAAATTCGTACACAAAAAATAAAAAATATGATTTTATGTTGTAAAAGTACAATTGCGATACAACATAATTTTCAGGAAAAAAACTATTTTATCAAACAAGTTATATCTCAATCAAATTATCATTATAGATAAGAGAATAAAAATGAAATTTTAAGAGGATGAGAAGCAAAGCAACAATACCTTCCATTATTAACAACGAAGGAAATTAGATATCTTCACAAACATACTTTTGTACGCTTAATAATTGTTAACATTGACTTAACTCATCGTTAGATAGTAAACATACGGTTGCGTCATATACAATATCAAAGTAATGTCACTTTAATCTGAAAACATACGACTAGATGTAAAAATATGAACACTTACATAAACAAATTTTAAAATGAAATACACAATAAGACTTTTCGATTGTGTGAACAACTGATATCAATCAAGCATCATGTATAAATGTTGTTTTTTTAACGAAAGATAAAAAATTAAAAAATATAAAAAACATATGCAACTAATATACAAGTAAATTGTCAAAAACACAATAAAATTAAGAACAAAAAGCATAAAAACAACTTAAAAGAATAAAAAGTCAAAGTTCTTTGGTATTTTCCGTAACAAAATAGTTCTTAAAAAGAGAAAATAAGAGTCCCTAAAGAAAGCCCAACACGGCAAAATTGAAAATGTTGCAGGCTCGGTTTGTTTGAGCCTGTTCATGGACGGTACTGTCAAGTGCAAACTACTGTCCACGTCCCCCTAAAATAGGATGCTTAAGTGTTACTTTCTATTATTTAAAGATTGAAATAATATTTGATGCAGTACATTTTAAAGAAGTTATTTATGTTAAAAACTTGGTAACACTTGTTATTTCTATATATTTGTTCAAATCCGTCAGAAAAGTAAAAAGTATATGAGCAATGAAGGTTTACGTTAACATATAATTATAAGATATTTACAATAAATGATGTCCAAATCAGTAGCAGGATTGATTAAAGCGTTGTTTTGTTTTTTCTTCTTTACAAAAGTAACAAATAAGAACTTTATAATTATACAAAAATGTATTTCTATTGAAAATAGAGACACAAGTTAGCTTATAAATACTAATTACAGTTGATACATTCTAGTAATAGAATTTTATATCAAAGTACAATATATATTTTGTGTAACAATACAGTATTTATTTTCACTAATTTGAGATATGATTATGAAATTAAGTTCATAATCTGTTAATAACAATGTACATCCAATCCGTTGTCGATGAATCTAGAAGCTTCTATTCTATTTTTCTTAAGTATGTTATCCAACGTATATTAGACCAATATGATCAACACTGGTTTCCTGAAATGAATAATTCTAGTAAACTCGATACGTACAGTTTAATTAACAGAAGGTTTCGAAAAGAGAAGTATCTTGATTGGATAAAAAATAGTTAATTAAGAATAACCCTTTCACGTTTTAGATGTTTTGCTCATAAGTTAATGATTGAAGAAGGAAGATTTAGAAATATTAAAAGAAACCGACGTTTGTATGAATATGAATGTATTGAAAACTCAATATCATTTTTACTTGCTTGTCGGTATTATATTGATCTTCGAAGAGAATGTTTACCAAAATACTACTGCTCTTGGCCAAATGTACAAACGTTAAAAATGTAAATGATTAACTCGCAAAAGAATGTTCTAAAGAAATTGTCTAAATTCATTTACTAGGCAACGTTAGCTAGAGCATGTAGAGAAATAACTGGTCGCTAATTCCAACTAATTTTAAACTATTCTGATTATATTTTTATTATTCTGTATCATATAATAATGCTATATTACTTTTCTAGTATTTAGATGTTTTATGCATCTGTTTATATGTTTATGAGTATGTATAACCGCCATTATTGGTTTTGGCAATATGCATTATGTGTGCGCCTTAATACAATCTTGAATCTTGACTTATCTTGACTACTTGCCCCATTCAACCAACAAATTCAACAACAAACAAACCGCTTTTCATACGGAATAAGTTTTATGAAAACTTCCTCCTTAAAGCAATTTGCGATTATCCTTTGCTTTTTGTTGCCTTTTTTTTGTGTCTGTAGTTTGCTTTTGTTTGTTTGTTCGTATGAATAAATATACAATTTACAAATTTACAAAAACAAATCTCTGAAAATTTTGATTGTAAGATTAAACAATGGTTACATGAAAAAAACTTACTAGAGAATAAGTAAAGTTAAACTGATTTAACACTATGGTCATAAAAATAAATGTATAATATGATTCTAATCATTTTTTGCTTTCCCTCGGTGAAAAAATAGGTTAAATACTAATTTGTGTTAAAGCATACATCATGTAAATATGAAACATTTGTATTAAATAAACAAATAAATATTGAAAACAAATGTGGTTACAGTTTTTTAAACTATTTACAAAGACAACTTTTTCTTCAAAGTAGCTTCATGCAAACCACAGCTCTAAGATTCATTTCTGTAATAAATATCGTCGTAACTCTAAATTTAAAAAAAAAAATTTCGTCTTTTCTGAATGTATGAAAACTTGCGCGTATTTTGGTCTATATTTTGTTCCTCTACGCCAATCAAAACCCAAAATAATTGTTGTAGTTGGGTTGGTCCCACATTTTGTCAGAGGAAAAGACGTAACGATTGTAACAACAAGACATTTTGCTGCTCTGAATGAACATATTTTTTATGCATTTTACTGGTTATCTTATAAATTTTAAGTTATTTTTAAGGTTTACTCTTACATTTTATCACATACAAAACATTAATGTTGCATTTAAAAGACAATATTGTTGAGAAAAAGACATTTATTTTTCAAGACAAAACAATACCAAAAACACTTATCATGTTGTTTACTTTTCTGAGTTTTGCTGAAATTGCAAATTATTTATCGGTTGTGATATGCGCAGTAGTTAAGCATTCACATTGAAAGTTATTTTTATCTGTAAAATAAACGAAATATGATACAACCATGCATGTTTATAAGCTACGTCATTTCCTTCTGAATAATTGTAATGTATGTTTTATGCTACGTCTTTTCGGAAATCGCTACGTCATTTCATCCCCGACAAATGCTAAAAACTGTTTTCGTTTTGTTGAAGGTACGAGATTTCTCAATATGTATGGATATGCCTGTATCAAACTTGCTTCTATTACCAGAGCATATATTAGTCAATATACTTTCAAAAATACCAATGAAGGAACTGCTGTTATCTGTTAATAGAACATGTAAACTTTTGAATTATATAATTGAGCACTACATCTCCCTCTGGGAAGAAATAGATCTTGATTGTCCAGTTTTTGGCAACATTGGAATCCTCAAGCGAATTCTAAAACATTCGTTTGGAATAAAAACATTATTGTTACCATTCGCAGAAATTTTCTGTCGAAGTGATGAACTTGACTTTCTGTTCACAACAAATATATGTATCGCTAAAAATCTAAACTGGTTACATGTTAGTGCGAGCAAGATATCCACCTTGTGCTTTTTAAAATACTTGCCTAGGCTTGAAATTTTGAATGTTTCAGAGTGTGATAATCTTGTTGACAATGACTTTAGAGTTATATCCGGAGTTCAAACGCTTCATAAACTGTATCTTTCATATACAAATGTGAAGGCATCTACTGTTGTCGATATAGGCACCTCACTAGAGTTATTAGTTCTAGATGCGTCAGAAATTATTATGACTGTCGAACAATGTGATACAATTCTAAACATGGAAATGCACTATATCCAAGTTTCTTTTGATTCAAATGAAAGTGAAAGATCTATTAACCAACTGAAGGACAGGTGGATAGACTGTGATATTAAAACACTCAATGTACAAAGGCAATAAAAATGTTCTCCAGAGGAAAACGCCTGGTTCAGCTTTCATTAGAAAAGGGACTTGACTTGAATGTGTTAACAAAAGTAAAAGGTGTAAACCAAGACAAACCTATGAGTAGTGGTCAATCGATATCAAACCTTGACAAGAAACAACAATATATTGACACAAAAACAGTAATTCTGTGAATGAAAAAATAGATAAAATGCCAAGCAATTCTCAAAGTGATAATCCAGATGAGTCATCATTAAAACAGATACCTCAACTTGTAGATGAAAACAATAACTCTGAGGACCCAAATACGATGATGTTCTATATGATCCTGATTATGTGCCTCTTAGAAAAAAGAGAAAGTTTAGCTTTGAAAGTATTGTAAGTGGTGAGTTTCTATACTGTAATGAAGCTGTGCTAGATTCAAACTATTCAAGTGATTCTTCTTTAGAAATAACAGAAACGGAATGTGTGGTTCCTACTAAAGTACGAGACTTAAATGAAGCAAATGCACAATTAGTGTCAGATAAAACACCTATAGAACAAAATGAAGACTTGATTCCAACAAAAGTTGTGGAACAGCTCAGTAATATTGTTAACAGCTCAGGAATGAACAAAACTGAAAATTAATTGCCGAGTCAGTTGATTACTGAGATAAGTGATGTTGAGTGTAGTACTATAATTGGTATTGAAACAGAAGTGAATCTTGAACTGACTGAGTCTTTTATTCATGAAGCAACTGAACACTCTGCAGATAAAATAGGCTTGAACAGACTCAATCAAACCGAGCCTGCAACATTTTCAATTTTGCCGTGTTGGGCTTTCTTTAGGGATTCTGTATTTATCTATTTTCTGGATTTTGTCAATCGTATCGACCATGAAGAAATAGTAGAATCAAATGAAAAACTATCGCTGCGAAACCAAATTCAATCCACAAAGCATGTAGGTAAGAGAAATAAAAAAACTCCGAGAACATGGATTAAAATATCTTGGCCAGAAGAAAAATGAAATGGGGAAAAACGAATATGTTGTTGAAAAGCATGACAGAATTTTAACCAAAAGTAATTGTGGTAAAAAATGTCGGAGTTATAAAAAAGGGAGAAGATGTATGGATATTTCAGAGCTAGAGAGGCAAGCGATTTTTTCGAGGTTTTTGTACAATATGAGTTGGCCGGAGAAAAGGGTCTATGTAACGAGTTTGATTGAAATTGTGAAAACACCTGATAACCACAAAAGGAGAGAATATTCTTATAAGTATTTTCTTAGAATTGCTGACAATAGATTTGTAGTTTGCAAAGAAATGATTTTGGCTACGCTAGGAATTGGCGAAAGAATGATGTATCAATGGATTAAAGATTCAGATGCTGCTGGTATGCCTTCTCCAAAACAAACCATAATACCACGTAATAATAAGTCGGCAGAAAAGGAATTTGCAAGGCAATTCTTACGCAATCTACCAAAAGTTCCTTCCCATTATTGTAGGTCCACATCTAGTAAGGAGTACATTGAGCCGACATTCTCAAGTTTTACAGAGCTATATACGGAGTATAAACGTTTTGTCAAGCTGAGTCAACAGAAGCGGTGAGTCGAACGTTATTCATGGATTCGTTTAATTGCATGAATATAAGTATTTACAAGCTTGAAAAAGACTTGTGTGATACATGCACAGGCTTTAATGCAGGAACAGTTAGCGAAAGTGATCATGTAGAACACATAAGAAAGAAAAATAAAAATGAGGCAAACCTTTCTAAAGTAGAGGATATTTAAACAAATCGCATCTGACAGCAACGGTAAAATAGTAATAATAACAGCAGACTTACAAAGTCTTCTCTTATGCACAAAACTGAATGCAAGTTGTCTATACTGCAAGACTAAACTATCTTGCCACAACTACACCATATTTAATCTAGTTTAACGGGATGCAGTCTGTTATTTCTGGCTCGAGGTAGCTGGAGAACTTACTGCTAATGATTTCACATCATGCATAATTAACTATCTAGAAGAACATGTACCTGGGAAAACAGAAAATGTTATTATATACACAAATGGATGTGGCTATCAAAACAGAAACGTTAACCTTTCAAATGCTCTTTCAAATTTTGCAAAAAATAAACATATTGTTATTGAACACAAGTACTTGGAAAAAGGACACACGTATATAGAGTGCGATTCCATGCATAGCGTTATTGAGCCTCAGATTCGACATAGAAACATAAATGTTCCAAATGATTACGTAAACCATATACAATTAGCTCGAAAAATAAAGCCGCACCAAGTGAAGTATCTTGACTATTCGTTTTTCTCTGACTATAGTGAGCAAAATGAGTATATATCGATTAGTCTTGGAATCGGAGTTGACTCAAAAACAGTTAATGATATCAGAGTACTACTGTACTCTGTAGATGGTACAATTTCTTTTAAGACAGATTATGAGAATTGCCTGCGAGAAGGACAAACAAGCGTTATCTGAAACAGAAACCCTCACACTTGTATTCTGGGAAATTACCACTGAAACAGAGCAAATATAAACACCTACAAGAGATTAAAACTGTTCTTCCCATTGACTATCACTCATTTTATGACAATCTGCCTGTCAGTACAAAGTAATACATCAGATTATGTTGCCGGAATCAATCAGTGACTTAAATACAACAAAATGAGTTTTAAAGTTGATTTCTAAATGCTAGTTTCCTTGTAAATGCATAAAATCATTTGCGCTGAAATTCACGATACATGAGAATGTTGATTTGACTCATTGATAAACATGAATGTAGCAAACTTTTGAAAATTTAATACATTTATGATAAAACTAATACATGTATGGTATATGGATATAGTTGTTTTAATTTATTATTGTTAGTTTGTCAAGTTGAGAATTTTCAAATGTACCAATTTATTGAAATTTTTATAAAATCATGGTAAAAGTAATACATGTATGGTATCATGATATCAGGATAGCATTTCAGTTAATATATTGTTTGAGTTGTTATTGTTAATTAATAATTGGTATAGTAATCCAAGTTATTACATATAAATTTTAAAGTGGATCTTCAAATAACTGCATAAAATTGTTTGCGCTTAAATTTATGAAACATGAGAATGTAAGTTTGACTCATTGATAAACATGAATGTAGCAAACCTTTAAAAATCTTCTTTAAATTATAATAAAAGTATAAAATGTATGGTATCAAGGGAACAGGATTTCATTTAAAAAATTAGTTATATTGTTTAGAGTTTTCTGTTGTTAAATTGTATTACTATTCAGTTAAAGCATTGGTAATTCAATCGAGTAACATATAAATTTTAAAGTGGATTTTCAAATGTCAGTCCTTTTGCAAATACATAATAATCATTTGCGCTTAAGGTCATAATACATGAGAATGTTAGTTTGACTCATTGATAAACATGATTGTAGCAAACTTTTAAAAATTTAATAAAATTATGGTAAAAGTAATACATGTATGGTATTAGGAAAGCATTTCAGTTATATTGTTACAGTTATTTTATTGTTAGTTTGTCAAGTTACATGGTATTATCATTCAGTTAAAGCATTGGTAAAACTAACCAAGTTGATAATAAAGTTACAAGATTGCATAATTCTTTGTGATTATTTAGCAACACAATTTAAATATTGTTTGCCTTCACCTTTTTCATAGGTTCAAAACATGGGCCTGTACTAAGCACTAGTATTAACCAATTCTAAACAACATACGCTAGTACCGATATACAAATGTTTGCCTTTAATCTTTTTGTCCCATGCTTAATTTGATACTACACTTGTTTCAAGCAAAACCATGCCATTAAACTGTTTGCAAAGACTAAAAATAATATTTGCTAAAAGATACTCGTTTTGTTCAATTAGAATTGTTAATATTCAAGTATAAAGTATTCACGCATCACAATTCCTGCAAAACTAAACCGAAACTGTTGTTTAGTGTTTTCAATGAAAGATGCATTGTCGTAGCTTTGAAAAAGAAAAAAAAAACTTTTAGGATGAAATGTCGTTACTATCGTTACAGAAGATTGGTATGACATTCACCCTAAGTGCTTATACAACATTTTGTATTTTTATTTCTTTGATATTATTTCAAAGTTTCAAATTCTAGAACATAAAACTAAAAAACTAAGATGTTTTTTTCCTCTCCTGAAAAGTTTGTATTGTGAAGCTACGAGGTTTAATATTGACACCGACGATATGCAAAATCCAAATTCAAAACAAAGCATTTATTACCAGTGCATTTATATGTATTGAATATTTAAACGTTCTCGTAAAATGACGACATTAGCAAAAAAATTATTTTGTTTGACTTTCTATATTAAAGAACAGTAATGCATAATTCTTACGTTACGTTTCATAATAATATTATATGCACACAATTGTATATTTTACACAACCGTGCATAAATGTAAGCTCGAGCTGCTATTATTGGCCTCGAACATTTTAAATTACATTAAATAATATTTATATCTCGTAATTTTACGAAAGCTTTTACAGAAAACTAATATGATGTTTTATCGCATGCACTGCATCATAGGTACAACATTATTTCTTTGTTTCGTTTTTTTTATAAAAACAGAGACAACTATAAGTACAGTTTTGTATATTAATCACGATCTTAAAATCCATTTTGTCTATATTACAATATACTTCTTCCACTTCTTTATCTATAATAGTCAACTGAAAATAAAAAGGAAACACAAAACATAATATCACGGTTATTTCTGTGCATAAGTCTTGTGGTGTCTCGTATTAATACATAACTATTTCAAAACTTAAATATCCTGTATGTTGTATTGAGGTCGTATACCACACTTAAGTGATTGAGGTCGTATACCACACTTATTAATAAGTGAAATTTATATATATAATTATGCTTATAAAACAATTTTCAAAGAAGAAGAATATGTTAAATATGTACGCATTGTGCACATTAAATGTAATCATTAAAATATATGCACTCATTTCTTATTGAAAAAATTGACTTAGACATTATCAAAAATAAATTTCTAATTACCTCCTTTATTTACTTGAGATATTGAATTATGTAACATCTTTATAAATAATGCTTTTTGGAACTTACAATTTTGATAAAACTTAATTTGTGCATAATATTTATGATATAAAACCATAAAAAAAGTGTTACAAGATCTTTAATAAATCTCACTAAACAAAGTTGTAGTTTGAAGATTAAGCCGAAGAATAAAACATTAATACAAAAAATATATAAAAAAATGACTAGAAAAAATAATAATACCTAAATAAATCCAATTCACAATTCTGAATCATCATACTCGGCAGGTAATTCTGTGGTCGTTTGGCTTTCTGCTAAAATACAATTGTAATGAAAGTGCAGTTGCAAGCAACAAGTCTTTTCTTAGCTGGTTGTACCGCTTTTTAACACCCCTACTGACATATAGACAACGAATTTCTCAATGGAACATAACAAAAATGTTTGAAGCTTCAGAGGAAAAAATAATTGTAAAATTAAATAAAATTATTATCATTATAATTATCATTATAAAATGATTGAAGGAACGCATGAATTTTTTTTAATATTTATTCTTGTTTTGTTCTCTTTTTTTTGTAATGAAACATTCATCTTTAACATTTGTTAAATACAGACTTAGATGTGTCATGTTGTCATAAACTACACATTTTTATTATGTATACAGCCGTTAGTATCTGTTTGTGCATATGTATATTACTTACCACTTACATGTATTTACATATCATCCTTTTCGGGTAATATAATTCGCCCACTGTATAACTTATAATATAAGTCATTTCGTAATGTTAAACTTTATTCAGAGCACTTATTCTCATATTCTATGTCACTTCGTAATTGTTAAACTTTTTTCAGGGCAATTGCCTTTTAGCTTACACGTACACTGCACGCTATTGTGTAGTAGAAATTTTCGGCATAAGGGTCTTGAACAAATTGACATAAAGAAATGCATTTATTTACGTAAAAGCAATCTATACAACATTTATTGTAAGCTATGGGGTTGGTACAAAATCAGTATTATTTAAAACAATACCCTCCTAAATAACTGAATCAAAGCAATCAAACCTTCTTATAAGTGTTTCTGGAAAAATGTACCGATTCGAATCCAGACACAGCTGTGGCTGTCATGGCAACAAAAAATGAAAGACATTTAAATATATATATGGGGTGACTATTTGTGTTTTATATCAGTTCACATAGATTTGTTCTTGTTTAACCATTTAGCAAGGTTGTACAAATAACTATGACTCGTTAAGCTCGAGAGTTCCTTTCGCGTTTCCCCTCTTTATCTCTATAGTAAAAATCAAAATGTCAAAACGGAATGGATTTAATAAAAAACATTTTTTCTTACAGGTTATCCTTGGATCTCTAAACAAGTCAACATATTTCCTTGTGAACACTGCTTAGTGATAAAGAGTCATCATGACCGTAAATTATCCAACAATATTTAATTTTGATACAAACATTTGCCTTTATGTTTCAAAGTAATAATAAGTTTATGGCGTCTATTTTAATACAATGACTACATTGTACAGACATGTAGAATGAAATATTCGTGCAGTAAATTGTTATTCTGTTTTTTTGCTTACTACCTGGCTACGTGTCTTATAATGATAAAACGTTCAGTTACTACAGTGTTGCCTTTAAACCAAGGTGAGATTATTTTAGTTCATTATGTACGTTTCCGGCCTACATCGAACTGAGAATACGAGGTATATCTTTACAAGACGGGTGGAAATCATCAAATGTATATCACAAACAAAAATTAGCGTAATTATAACGCTTTCATTTAAGAGGTCTGGAATAAATTAAATAATACAATGTAATAAAGTAAAATGCCAAGTCATGTTTCCCTGAACAAAAAATACCTTTTGGTTAGAATACGAACAAATCATTTACATACCTAAATTTGTATACATTTCTGTTTCCGAAGTAAAGCCCTGACCTGCCAATGACTCATACCCGGGTGCATTTCAGTATCTGCAAAATCAAAATATAGAAAAACACTTTCTCAATTTATCAATGTGGCCATTTGTTTTTAATAAAACACGGACAGCTCTTTAAACACCTTGAGATTATTTAAGCTCATTCTGTATGTTTCCGGTCAAACGTCGAACTTAGAATACGAATTATAGCTAAACTAAACGGATAATAATCATCCAATGTTTATCACAAACAAATTAGCGGAATTAGAACGCCATGTTTTAGAGGTCCGAAATGAATTACTTTTTACAAGGAAAATGGCAAGTCAGGTCCCCTGAACAAAAATACCGTTTAGTTAGCATAAGAACAAATAATTAACATACCTAAATTTGTATACATTCCTTTTTCCGTAGTAGTATCCTGTCCTGCCAATGACTCATACCTTGCCTGCATATCATCATCTGCAAAATCAAAATTTAGAATCACTTACAAACACTTTCTCAATTTATCAGTGTGGGCAATTTAAAAAAAAACGGACAATTATTATTAACAGTGTTGACAACTTGAGATAATTTTAGTTCATTTTCTACGTTTTCGGCCAAACGTCGAACTTTCAGTTATTTGCCTGTCCGTGCTCTGCCTTGTGCCCTGTCCTGTTTTTATTTGGGATTCTCTTAGGCTCCTAGCCACTTGTTCTTGTTGCTAAGTCGTGTGGGGGTTGCGTTCATTGAACGCCACCTTTCCTTGTTGACCTTGTTTATCATATTTATGGAGACAAAGTTTATCTCTAAACCAGGCAACTGTATAGCACAGCCAAATTAGAGTAATTAGAACGCTTAGTTGTAGAGGTCTTGAATAAATTACTTTCAAAAACAAATTTAAAGTCAATAGCAACAGAAGAACAAATACCAAGTCAGGTTCCCTTAAATAAAAATACCGTTTGGTTAGCATAAGAACAAATAATTTACATGCCTAAATTTGTATACATTTCTATTTCAGTAGTAGTTCCCTGCCCTGCTAATGACTCGTACCCGCCCTGCATTTCAGTATCTGCAAAATCAAAATTTAGAAAAACTAAACAAACACTTTCTCAATTTATCAGTGTGGCCAATTATTTTAATAACTTACAAATATAACAGTGGAGTCTTTAGACAACTTAAAATCATTTTTGTACATCCTGTTTAGCCAAACTTCGAACTTAGAATACGACGTATTTCTTAACCAGACGGTTGAAAATCATCAACTGCCTATCACAAACAAATTAGCGTTATTAGAACGCATAGCTTTAGAGGTCTGGAATAAATCACTTTTAAAAACAAAAATCAATTGCAACAAAAGAAAAATGCAAAGTCATGTTCCCCTGAAAAAATACCGTTTGGTAAGCATAAGAACAAATAATTTACATACCTAAATCTGTATATATTTCTATTTCCGTAGTAGTGTCCTGTCCTGCCAATGACTCATACCCGGCCTGCATTTCAGTATCTGCAAAATCAAAATGTAGAAACACTAACAGATATTCTTTCAATTTATCACTGTGGTCAATTATTTAAAAAGAAAAACATCCATGAATGAATGACACAGATATGACCAGACACAACAACACAAAGTTGTGTAAGGAATCTATATGGCATCTATATCAGTTTGTAAAATGCAAATCACAGCAACAACAACTGTACACATTGCCTTAAAAAAGACATATCATATCATTGGAAACAGACAAATGATCAAAAGCCGGGCACAGTACAGGAACCATGACCTTTGAGTTACCACATAAGTATTGTTACTATAAGAAGAGAGTTACAAACAAATACCTTCTTCTATTCTCATTGTGGTTAGTCCAGTAATTAAAAGAAAAACATCCATTTATGAATGAAAAAGATATGACTAAAGGCAATAAACAAATGTACTATTTTGACATTCAAGTAGTATTCTTTATCGTTTAAGCTGTCTAAAGGCTTTTAATAATGACAAAATTGATAACTGAATATGAAAATCAATGTATTTTTATGAAACTATAAATCTTAAAAATGTTAGGTGTGACCTTTGATAGTTAATATGACCATCTATCCACAATAGTTACGTTTGATGTACAAGTGTCACTATGACCTCTGAAATGGAGACTTTACTCCTATGCGCGTCACATCATCATCATCTCTAACATATTTATAACGTTTTTCAAAATTCCAACCACGACTGACATAATTGTTGACTGGACGCTACCATAAATGCACACGCATACAGGTTTGACATTACCTTTATTATTTATTTATTTATAATATAATATTATATTAATGCATAAAATTTTGAAGTACATACGTAAGTGGTAACAGATTTTAAGATATTAAAATAAGTCAAAGGCCCCAAAGATTATAATTCAGAAATCAGTTATCGGACGCACTAGTTAATGCATTTACGCATTATTATTATTTCTTTCAATCTACGGGTTTTTTTATCATACACAAGAAAATTATGTGATTTGATATTCCTTTATCATATTATATTCATTGGACATTTTACGTCATCAGATCTAGTTCACATCTTCATTTATAGAGTGTAATGACTTCAGTGATAAATGTTCTATAATAACTTTTAGATTTCAACACTTGATACAAGAGGTCCTTTATACCAACAACATGTGATAAGTTTAAAAGTATGTATAGATATATATTTTTTCAAAAACATTTATGTCAATATTAAGTTGGCAGTTATTCCTATTATTTCATTGACAGAATAACTAATTTGTTTTGTTTAATATATTTGTGGAAAACGAAAAGGATACAATGTTTTTAACTGCTCCTCCAGGCTATGTCAGTCTTAGCCAGTTTTGCATTTTTACTGTGTTAATAATTATTAGGATAAGATGTAAATATGTCATGATGTTTAAACAATATAAGAGGTGATATTTATAGGAATACGAATATAAATCACGCAACAATAGAATATGTCATTCTCCATTATTAAACAAGCAGCAGAGAAAGCAAAACAGCTGGTGATCGTTACAGCTATTCACTGAGCAGAGAAAATAACTTGCTTAAATCTTGTTAAAAATCATAATAAGTTAAAGGGATATTCAGGCAAATTAATGAAAAAAATATCAAAATTATTTTATTTACTCAAATCACGCTAAAATGATATTTGTAAAAGTCCCAGCATGAATTGCTGTATAATTTCTATATATTTTGGGTTTGAAAGGTAAATATATCCAACATATGTTGAACTAAATTTAGCAACCAGCAGAATCGCCGAGTAGTTTAAAAACTAATCTTGTGGCTTGAACAAACCCTGGCATTTCAATAACAGATATTGTGAATATTATATGATTGAAACAAACATAAATCATTCATCTGGCGTGTTCGTTAACGTTTCCAGTGTTCACTGTGACAACTAAAGTCAAATCTTAACACTAAAACCTGACCCACGTGGGTCAAGTTAGGAAACCACCATTTTATTTTTATATGGAGAAAAGTTTTGTTCCTGGGACTGCCTTGTGTATTCATTTTGAGGACATTGACAGATTAATGAATGTAATTCAAAACGAAGAAATGAAATTTTTGCCTGTTTCTCCCTTTAAAAAATTAAACCAATGTACAGAGGTACACACTAAGCGTCTTTGATCTGTGTTTTTTTAAGAATAAGATTAATTAATGTTACAGTATTGTGGAATGTTGCATAACATGTATTAACATGCTAAAAATTCAGTACTTAAATGCAGTGAAATGCCTCTTGTTCTGAAATGTACGCTTAACTATTAAGTAGAATGAATTTTTCAAAGAAACATTAACATTCCGGACTTTTTACGTGCTTGTATGAAACATAACAACAAATATACAAACGCTAGATCCATTGTGCATTTGCAATTTAGATGACCGCATCATTATGGGGAAAGTCACACAACCTTTAATAATCTAAACGTATTATTAAACGTTTGTAATGTATAAATACCAGTAGATAAGTGTATGTTTTGGCCAAACTGGTAACTTATTCTCATTTCCTCATGAATTTACTTTTAACTCTTTATGAATTAAGCTTAATTCCTAATTAATTATTTCTTACTTCTTATGAATTTGTTTTAACTCCTCGTGAATTAGTTTTTACTCATTATGAATTAATATAATCTCCTCGTTTAACAAATTCTAACTCCTTATGCATTTATCTTAACTCCCTAGGAATCTATTTAAACCCTTTATGAATTAATAATAACTCCTCATGAATTAAAGGTAACTCCTCGTTAAGTAATTTTAACTCCTTATGAATTAATCACGTATTATCCCTTTACGGAATATTCAGAAAACGATTTCCAAAGACAGGTAAGAAAACACTAATGTCAAATATCTTATTATTAAGACTTTAGTACTTTACTGATGTGAATGCAACTTTTTCTATCAATTACACATTTAATGATGTATTTAGAACAGAATCTAACAAAGACATTTGAAAAGCGATGCGTTTCATTGCCGTACGTATACATTAAACTTAAACATTTACATCAACATGAAGTATAAAATAATGAATACAAATGAAACATAGTTGTAAGTGATGAAGATAAAGGAATAACATATCATATCTTTATTGCGTTAAATGAGTATAAAGAAAAATAAGTAAACGTATTGCACCACGTGTTTGTATCATGACATCTTATCAGGAAGTAAAACCGAACAATGCTTTCATAATGCATTTTTTTGTAAATGTCAACTTCTTGTTGGTAACGAATGCAAAATCTCGACACAATGTACAGACAAATAGACGGTGGTATTATTTAATTTGACCAATTGTGTTCTATACTTTAGTTAAATGTCATTACTGTATTGCCAAGATATACTCCAAACCTGATGTTTGAGTATAAATGTGCCTCTGTGGTAACTGACCTATTGCCTCCAAAAGACAACATTTAAGACCAATGCCATACTATCTGAGATCGGTTGAATACGTCGGCATAACACAGCGGATTAAAGAAGCTAGATTTACAACATGCAAGAGGTTAAAGTTAAATTAATTGCAATATCAATATTGTATGTATATATGACACACGAGCAGATGCATGCTTATTTTAGTACTCTTACCGTTTCCAGTCGGATGTAAACTTCTGACAAAAGAAGGAAAAACGGTATTAGGAAACATTTCATTTTGTTATGTAACTTTACTGGTTTATTGTTATGTTATTGCGGGACGAGAGTTTCCCAACCAGCACTACATATGCTCTTGTTTGAAGTATCATGCATGTTATTTACAAATTATAATTTTGAATACGAACAGTTTTTGTGCGAATGTTATAATTTCGTACCTGACAATGCAATGTGTTTGTTCGTAACAAAAAAGAGGAATTGCAGTTGATGGGCGTGTTATGTTTGTGTGTACAAATGAAATGTCCTAAGTAATATATATATTAAGTAATGATACATACGGTTTTCTTTCTTCAATTTTAATTTCATGAATGTTCCTCTTCTTTAATGGTTCATTCTGTCGTTTCATACGTATAATAAGAGCCACAATAACTGCTATAAGTATCGCAAAAAATAAACAGCCAATTACAGGCCCTACGACTGAGGAGATGTTTGACTCCGCCGATGGTTTGATTGCTTCCGTTACTGGTCTTTCAGATGGATCTAGATGATTGGAAAACAGTAAATCAATGGAATGAGTCAAATAGAATGCATTATATCTGCTGAATATGATTTATCAAAAGATTGAACAGAACTTCCGAAATTTGGAAATCAAAACCCGACTTCTCAGTGCAATCTTTAAAATGTGTTTACAAAATTTCGATTGACCTTGTGATATTCAAAGTGAAGTTGTGAAACTAAAATATTCAAATTTGCTTTTACAATCTTTTTCAAAATATTATGAGTTGTATGCAGAAACAGAATTGTGTTAAAAACAAGAAAATTTGATCAAATTGAAGAATAAAAATAATTTCAGAAAAGTTAACAAAGTACAAACACTTTTAAAAGGATTTGTAACAACCAAGTGATTCCAAATGGTATACTGAACTTACCTAGGTGCTAAAACCAATTTTCAAAATTGTGTTATCAGTAAAAGTTGTTAATACTTAATGACTTATATACGCTTAAACTACTTGTTATCACTTGAAAGAAAACTAGTTTTTCGTTGTATGGACACTTTCTATTTTCTAACAAGATAAATGTATCTAAGGCATCCGTTTCAATTTATTTAAGACAACATAAACACAACTAATGTTTGCAGCGTACAAATAATACCTTTCACAATAAGCGATATATTTCTTGTTACAATTCCACCTATTCCATTATGGGCCTTGCAACTATATGTCTGGGAATGGTCGATTGAAACATTTCTCAAATGAAGGTCAATTCTTTTTGCTCCGAATATCTCTATAAAAAATAAAAACAAAATTTAAATTATTTTTTTATTTCGAAAGTTTTAAAAATGTTTGAAAGAAAAAAACAGAGAGAGGCCCTTTGGGTTTTTAAAATTTTAAATCAATTTAAACCCCAATTTCGCGGTCAGAACTTTAAATCTAAAACTTTTCGAAATCAAAAATGGGTTCTTTCCAGTAAAAACCCGCTTTGAAAAAAAGATCACTTTGGCGTTTTTCCCAAAAAAATCTAAAAAAAAGTCGCATCTAAGTTTTTGTAAACCCGAGCCAGGTTTAAAAGCAACAAAAAAAGGGGACCAAAAGGGGGGGCATTTCAGACATTTTTGCCCGGGAAAAATGAAACAAAAAAAAAAGAACAATAAAACAAAACCAAATAACTTTCAATGAAAAGATAGATATGGCATAGAAAACTTAGCTTGCTTAAGAATTAATTTTATACTGTTAAATGGTGAAGAGGTTTGTTTTTCAAAAACATTTAATTGTCTGCTATATACCATCAATTACGCCCGTATGATTGTGCCACGAAAGTGTTGACAGGGGATTGCTGTCTACGTCACAGGTCAAATCAACATCTTCACCAAGGTAAAACCGTTTTAAATTCTTGTTTTCTGATATCATAACTATTGGATAATCTGAAATTACAGAAGTAAATAAAGATCCAAAAATGTGTTTTATATGCATATGTAATAAAAGCTTCTCTGATTGACAAAAAATGTTTCAAAATAGCATTCCATGACAGTCTTTTGAATTTCTATTTAGAAGAGGAATTGTAAAATTAAGAACCTTATTAAAAGATTTTGCGGATTTTCTATAAAAGCTATTTAAAGTTATTTTAAAGATAACGAATTTCAAAACACAATATAAATAATTTAACAAATAAACACACACATGTAATGTTCTTAAATGTATATGTAACTCAATTCAAGGTCTGGAAAAACCGTCATTTTGCACATCACATTTTATCTCCCTTTTATCATCATCTTTTTTGAAATTTAAGCTCCAGATCTGGAAATAATAAAAATATTATCTAGAAATAATAGAAATATTGAAGTATATTACAAGTATATCTTTTCATCTTATTTCACAAAAAACACAAGCAAACCTTTATGCGTATGATAATTATTCAAAATAGTAAATATCAGAATTGAACAAGTCTGTAATAATGCAGAAAATCAAACAAACAAAATGTGAACTAACAAATTTAACTTAGGAAAAAGCCAAATAAACCATCCAATATTTTATGTATACTAGTGTAACGAAATGTTTTCAGTATAATAATTCGCAAAAAAAAATATATGGCTATTATGTTTTATGTAAGAAATGTGTTTATTTTATTTCTTGTACAGTAAAATAACATGTATATAGCCAGATTTATATTAGAAATTAGAATATAAACATGTAATTTCGAATAAATTCTTTGACACAAAAATTATTTCCTATTTTAAAACTTTATTGCTTAAACTTTATTGCTCAAATGAATCTCCACGAAAATTATCTTAAGACAATCGTTTACAGAAACAGTCAAAATTAAAATTATACAAGAAAAAAACATTGAGCAAGATCATTATTATTTATAATCAGTGACAGAGAGAGAGAGAGACAGAGAGAGGCAGATAGATGAGAGAGGTTAAGTATTTCACTAACCTCTGTAAATACCCCACCCGTTACGTTTAAATTTCCCCGGGGGGTTTTTCCTTTTTATAAACCCAAAACATTGGGCCTTGACATTTTTAAAGGGTCCCCCTTAATTTTTGATAGAACTTCTAGTTTAAATTTTGGGACTAAAATTCAATGTCATCATAGTGTCGCCATTTTCTTCATTGTGTTTGAAAATTTCTTCAACAGTAACATTCTTTGGTGGAACTATTTTATTTGGAAATAAAAGTGATCGTTAAAGATATAAAACACAGAGTCATGTTGTTACATAATAAGTATCTTAGATAAATATAAATAGTATATTCCTTTAAATATTAACAACAAGCACCTACCGCTTGCATGTCTCGAACTACCCAGCATCAATATTTATGTCATCCTTAATATATGATAAACAAGATCAACAAGGAAAGGCGGCGTTCAATGAACGCAGCCCCCATCCGACCCAGTAACAAGAGCCAGTGGCAAGGAGCCCAGGAGGACCCCAAACAAAAACAGGAGAGGGCACAAGGCGGAGCACGAGCAGGCAAACCACTACATAAGAATAAATAATAAGTAACTGATAAAGAACTAAAAAGAAAAAAACAAAATGATTACATATTAGGCTCACAAAGTCAAAAGGCACAGGGGAAAGGGACCTGAGACCGGGGAAAGGGGGTATATAAATAAAATAAAACAAAAACAAGGGGCAAAGGGGAAGATACTTACCGTAGACGAGAAAACAACAAGAGACACAAAAGTGTCACCAAAACAGTATAAAACAACACAGACATACATCTGAGGAACTTCTAATACCCTTTTAACACTTTCATCTCAGCAAATGTACATACAAGTTTCATTATCTTGTCTATATAATGTAATATGTGATACATCAATATCATTTCGACTCGGGTCGAAATCTTTCATGTGAGGAAGCCATCTAGCTGGCTTACGGAAGGTCGGTGGTTCTACCTAGGTGCCCGCTCGTGCCTCAAAGAATGCCCAGAGGGGCACCTGGGGTCTTCCTCTACCAGTTAAGCTGCAAAAAAATCGACGAAAAATCTAGGATGGCCCGACTTGAGTGTACGGTCGCCCATATGGGCTTTCCGGTGGCGACCTTAAATAAACGCATCAAAAAAAGAAAAAATATCAACATTATTATATTTCTTGTTCTTCAAATCTGATGCAACATTTTAGTCATATATCTTTTTCCTCCAAAGGATCACATTTTCTGCAAATCATTTTCATATAAATTGCAGTAAAGTTAAGAAAATATTGATACACACTTACGTGCAGAGAAAAAAGATAAAAACGATGGCTGAACTCACACACAAGCTGTCAAAAATATAATGTTAAAAATCAATCAATCAATCCATCATTAAATCAATACCAAAACAGAGTAAAAAATCAGACCATAAATGATACTTACATAATACGTTAATGTTCTTCGTTTCGCATCTAGTTTCACCAATATTACTGCAACACAATACCTTATCCTGATTTTGAGTCCGTGTAAAAATCTGAGTTGTCGACGTGGTGATAGTGTACAGATTATCCGGAGCTTTTTCAACTTTCGTTGTTGTATTAGGCTTTTCAATACCTATGGATAGGTCCGACATCAACGGTGGTCTGCAATTCTTTGTAATACATTGAATTACAGCTTGCTCTCTTTCTACTACTTCGATGCCATTAACTTCTATACTTTTTGGGGGAACTAAAATATAAAAGTTACTTAGATATTGCTATAAACAGCTTATCAACAAGTTTTTTACATCGGCCTTTTCTTATGTCTTTATCTTAAACTAACCAGGCGTTAAATTTCTTAATGAAACAAAACGCTCGTTTTATTGCTAAATGCATGTGATACGGTTAAGAAGGTTTTTATACATTACCAATTGAAATATTAATATTGGTAAAGTAACAATGAATTACAGAACAGAAAGAACGTTTTGTTTTTGTAACAAAATGACTAGTGTATAAACCAATTTTTTGATACAATATTTTACCAAATACTTTCTGTATAATGTGTCCGTTTCTGCCAGACATATTGCACAGATGAGCACTGGAGGTTTCTTCTAGTACAGTTGTAACGTAAACACCACCAAAAACATTCTGAACGTATTAAACACATACCTGCAGTATATAGCATTACAGACGTTTCCAATGGTTCTTGAATGGCAGGGTTGTTTACTGTACATTAAACATGGCGTTTATATCTGACATAGTTGGTATAAAACTGTATCTGATATAGTTATAAGTTATCTTAATTCTGTCGTCACTGACTTTGCTAGTATTCATTAGTTTAACTCCATTTTTTAAACATGTTAATTTCTATGGGTTTTGATCCGCCTTCTACGTAACATTCTACAGTTACTGATTTATTTAGAGTAGCCAATATACATTCCTTGTAATTGCAGTAAAACTTGGATACTTTGTTGGAAAATACTGGGTTTGATGGTGGACTGTACACTGAAATTAAAAGAAAGCAATACCGATAAACATATATTCTGTCCAATTTGGTAACGCAAATAGCTTGTTCGTAGCACATATCAAACAAATCCCATGCGCAGTGCGTTAATTTCCGTTGATGAACGGCGATTTTTGAGACGTATATTTAACAATATGGTACATGCACTTAAACTACATGTGTCATGTTAATGACGTTGTGAGAAAAATGACGTAATTTGTTAAAAAAGAAACATTTCCCTTTGCAATAACAATTTAAGATCGCGTTTGAAATGATGGTCACAACGACTCGAAATCCGAAAAAAATTATTTCATAAAACTTTGTCAAGAGGAGGGCGAAATACGAACAAAGGGATAAAGGCTATCATGGGGATAACATTAGCGTCGTCGTTGATAAGGTTTTCGAGCGTGGTCATAAAATGCAATGCTAAAAAAAATATTTTCATTTGCATGTGGATGAACTTTAATGAGCTCTACCCGAAACACTTATTTTCAGATTAAAAAGTCAAAGGCACTAAAACCTCTATTTATAACAAAATATACAAATGTTCATTTAAGCAAACATCAATGACAATGGAACTTCAACTTTGATGAATTCTTTCATACTAATTTTCAGGTGAAAAGTCATGGTCACTAGGCTCTGTAATGACAAAACAAACTTGGCTATTATTTAAGCGAAATGTATTTTCCGAGGAACTTTAAACTTCAAAGATGCATATTGATGAGTTCTACAAGCAAATGTATGTAAAGATCATAAGGTCAAATATCAAGGTCAAAGAGACCTGTAATAAAGATATAAAACTTGGCATGAAGTAAAATAGCATTTACCGAGAAAATCCTGTGCATGTAGATACGTATTTTCCTGTCACAGCTATGACAAGTAAAAGTGCAATAACTCAGGAACTTAAAGTTACATAATTATGTAGATTCAGATAAATAACCGCAACCTGTCACATTCGTTGTTATGTTAAAATGTCAAAGGTTAACTTCACTGTTAAATGTTAAATTCCATTTTCCCATGACTATCAAAGCTTTTTATACAAACTCTAAGTACTTGGCCATTGTCAAAATATGAAGCCATGTCACAAAGTCGGATATTTTAAAATTATAGTCAGCAAAGTTATGCCCTTTTAAGTTAAATTTAACCCTCATATATTCCTTTTGATAAGTTGAATTCTCAAACAAATATGGAAGATATTCACTTTAGACTCGTAGAGTTTGTGCTGAAGTTTTGAGCATTAATCAAACTGAAATGATTTTCTAAAATGCAGATTACCCTGAACGTTATTTTTTGTTTAATTATCTTTTTTTACATGTTTTTTTTTATTTGACCACAAAATCATCAAATATAAAAGATGCTTGTTAACGTTTCGGTGCTGGTAATTTCCCGACAGTTTTGCGTGTTTTTTTTTAAATAGTTCCTATTGTACTTTTATCATATTAACATGCACTAGGAAAAATTGATGGTGATGCACTTTCGACAGCTCTTGTTCAAAAGAATAACGATAGTTATTTTTTTTCCTTTGTAAAAAAAT